CTTCTCCAGTCCAGCAAACTGAGCTCAACAGAGCATCAGAGGCAACTGGACTACTCGGACTCGGAAGCCAAAGTAGATGCATAACCTAGTCGAACAGTGTGAATGTGTCCCTAGGATCTCTAGATCTGAAAGCACCAGCCTCCACTGCTTGAACTAAAATCCAGCTCCTAGACTTAGTCCTTGCAGATGGCCCAGCCAGTGCATTATTATAGGAGCATTTAACCAGCTCCTGGCTTTACTTTTTTGGGATAGGGCTTATATTTTAATAACTAAGTGATATTTCCATTTCCTTGTTAAAAGGCCAGTGCTGATCCAATTCAGTCACCTTGTCTCTGCTGTACAAAAGCAGGACAGCCTCGCTAATCTGTGACTGCTGGTTTAGATGCTGCCTGGCCCAAGTGCCAGTGCTTTCCTCCTTCCACCAAAAAGTGGGCCTCAAACAGAACAAAACTGCACTTTAAAAGGAGGCACTAGATGGCACAGGTGATTGGGGATGAAATCTGTAGGGTCATAATGTGATAACCTCAGCTCCCTAGATTGTCACCTTAGTTCCAGTCAAGGCCAAAAGTTGGCCCTTAATTATCTGGCTTTTTTGGTGGGTTGTGTGAAGAGAGTTGGGTGGTATCAGGCAGATCTATAGGCATAGATATGCATGTTGCCAAAAACCCCACCACCTGTACTGACACTGAAACTTGTTGGCTGACTAGACAGACCAAAGAGGGAGTAGGTTCTGGAGACACTCTCCTTCTCCTACCTTTAGAAGTGGTCCTGCCAGGTTACTTTTGAGGCACGCTGGCAGAGTGGAAGAAGCATATACTGTTGACTGCCTATGCTGTGTCAGTGCTGGATACATGGAGGTTTCAATCTCTAGGGCTGTCAAGCCAGCACTGAATTCACTATTTTTTTAAGGCGAGTGGTAACTTTATCCAAAAAATCAATATAAATAAGACCAATGTAATTTGAATCCTAAAACTATCATTCTAGGGAGAAACTCTTCCCAAACTAAGTCTGGTAGAGAAAACTCCCTTTGCTCTGGCCTTCAAACAAGCTGGCCAGTCCAGCAGCAAACCTAGAGCTTTCTTTTTTCATCTAACTCAAGCCCCAGCATCTCCACTAAGTTCCAGAGCACTCGCAATGTATTGACATACAAATATGCACAGATAGCATCTCGCTGAGCTTCCTAATCCCCACATTCAACACCCCTCTTTTAAGCTGGAGTAGGGTTGCCTAGGCCAGGTGTGCGACCAAGACTGTTTCACCCTGTTGGAAGTAGGGAAGTGTATGACTTTAAAGTTAACAGCTGGAAAACTAGTGATTTTTTTTTTTTAAACTTTCACCTTAAATAACAGAAAATTTCATTCAGGGTAGAATCTGATCCTAATGAAGCTGATAGCTGTACTGCAACTGACTTCAGTGGGAGTAAACGTGTCAATTAAACAAGGAAATTACAAATTGGTATTTAAAAATCTCTGGAAATACTTCAGAATCTCCATGGCTATAAACCATGCAGCTGTGTAATCGCTGGGGGTCTCCTGTTTTAATGAGATTCCAACAGGAAACGTGGCTTGTTGGCAAGTACCTAAATGTGGTAACTGCAGGGAGGCTTTTGCATTTGTCCCAACGGTCCGCAGTTGGCGCTTTTTCTGAGGGGTCTAGAAAACCAAATGATTGATTATAGTTTGAAGTGGTAGTTTGAACTCTGGCTCTAGAAGGGCAAGCAACTCTTCAAAGGACCAGTTCGATGGTTCTTACAGAGTGGGCTTTCTCCCGCTCCCTACCCTTCAAACCCCCATTTAGAGGAGGAAAAGACTGCATGGGGTTAAATGGATGATGGCCCTTGGGAAGGTGGCATTCACTTTCCAACACACATGACATCTAAGGCAATTGAGACTGCCAGTTACTGCTGCTAACTTGTTTTAAATGGTCTTTGCCAGAGACTACATTTGATGAAGATGACTTTGATGATGAGGCGTATTATGCAGCTCTGGGCACCAGGCCACCACTGAACATGGAGGAGCTGGACCAGTCATACCAAAAAGCGATTGAAATGTTTTCCATCTGCACATGTGAGGACCCGAAGCAGCGTCCCTCTGCTGCACACATTGTTGCAGTCTTGGAGGAAGAGATGCATCACCAGTAACTGACGACTTCATATCTCTGCATTCTGATGTGGAGGCATCTACATGTAATTTCAGTATTTCTCCTCCTACGCTGATCGTTATGCAAGAATCCAGTGTAACCTAAATTCTTGGTATCAGGGCTTCTTGAGATGATCAGCAGAGAGACAATGCCAACCAGAGGGTTAGCTTTAGATATACATTGCGAAAACTTGGTTTTGTAAATACCATAAGAAACTCTTTAAGAGCGTATAAACTTACATGTCCTCTGGTATTTACAACTTTTTCATAAGATATAGGGAATTCTTTAAGAAATAACCTTTGCACTGGATGAGTTTATAGCATTCTGTAGCTTTAAACAAATATTAAGCATTTGAGAAAAGCCTAGCACTTCCTTAAAACAGATAGTTCTGATGTGAATTTGAATTAATAAAATATTGGCTTGTAGCAAGATAGCTGTGTTTGACCTAAGCACTTAAATCTTTTTAAATATTAGGTGCTTGTCTCAATTACACTTCAGGCATTTTTATAAATAGTGAGATAACAGCTTAAGTACATGACTTCCTGCAATGCTGAGAGCTCAGTGCTGTCCAGTCATCTGGCTGCTAGTTGTGTCCAAATCAGGAAACTTTTTTTGAACCATATTTTGATAAGTGTTATTGGCATCAGGTATATGGAGTTGAAGCTCTGACTTATTTCCAACTGTATCAGTTATGTATGCCTTGATTTTCCCATTTGTAAACTGAGGACAAGATGGAGTACTACTTCGTTAAGTGCTTTAAGAACCCATGAGTTAGTGCTCAGGTGTTAATTGCCTTAGACTGTTATGGATGGTTGGAATTAGTAGTGGTAATGAGGTGGAACTAGCTCTGGCCTTTGCCTGCAGCGTCCCCTCATGTGGTACTGGAACTGGGCAAAAAACAGCAAAAGGGTATTCAGACAAGGTGGGACTGAGGGGCTGCAAGAGACTCAGGGAAGAGGGACATAGAAGCCTCATTTGGAGGCTACCGATAAAGTAGTTTTTTGGGGGGGCAGCTTCATGTTGTCCAGCTAAGAGGCCATCATACTTAAACCACCATGAGCAATAAGACATCACTTACCATAATGTGCTCTAGATAACAATGGTTTTTAATGGGGGTCAGTAGCCCCCCGGGGGGGGGGCTAGGAGCAGGTTTTGGGGGGGGTCTCAGAAGCAGGGCTGGCATTAAGCTCACTGGGGTCCAGGGAAGAAAGCCAGAGCCTGAGCCACATAGCTTTGTGGGGCTTCCTGGTGCAAGTGCCCTGTTTGCTACTCCCTAATGCCAGCCTTAGGTTTTATAGGAAGAAAAACAGGTTGTGGTACAGGTGGGCCTTTGAGTTTTTATAGCATGTTGGGGGGCCTCAGAAAGAAAAAAGTTTCAGAATCAACTAAATGAAGGTTAGTTCATACTTCATTTGGCTGTCTACACTTGCAGACCCATCAGTGGGTAATGTTTTCAAGGATCTTTGTAATCAGAAGAGCTAGAAACAAATTGTATAGATTTTTGACTACAGCTTTGTAACAAAGTGAGGACTCCCTGGTTATGCAACTGCAAAATACACACGTCCATTCTAACACAACTGTATGGAACAGGCTGTGACGAACCTGGAATGTCAAGCATTTCAAGTGTAGGCCAATGACTACAGTCCAGGCTAATTATACTCTGTATGTTAGTAGCCATAACAAAAATGAAAGGGAAGTGGACACAAGGAAAACAAAGATGGCAAAACAGAAACTAAAGCCAAAGCATAAGGAGAAAGATGTTATACTCTTGTAAGGCCACAAGTCAGGTGAGTTTTATCAGAGTTGATGAGCAGGTTGTGCCAGCGCAACAAAACTACAGCAACTCCTCACTTAACATTGTAGTTATGTTCCTGAAAACTGCAACTTTCAGTGAAACAATGTTAAACGAATCCAATTGTCCCATAAGGTTTAATGTAAATGCAGGGGGTTAGGTTCCAAGGAAATTTTTGGGGGGCAGATAAGACATTATACTGTACAGTACTGTGGTTGGGAAGTGCCCCTGGCTTACCCCACACAGGCACAGCCAGCTGCAGGCAAGGATGCGAGGAAGCACCTTTGCAGTAGGAGCAGCTTCCCTGGAGAACAGGCTTGGATTTTGCTGGGAATACTCCAGGCCCACCTCTTCCCACCCTCACTCCACCTCCTCTCCAGAGCATGCTACAGCCCTTCCCTCCCCCCCACCCCCAAGTGCCAAACAGCTGTTTAGCAGCCCGTAGGACTTTCTGGGAGGGAGGGGGAGGAGCGGAGATACAGCACTTCCCTCTTCTTCCCCCCCAGAAAGTCTTAAGCACCGCCAAACAGCTGTTTGGCCATAGGAGAAGCACTGGGAGGGAGGGGGAGGAGGCAGAGAAGCTGAACTTGTGCAATGCTCCCTTGTAAAGTCGCTGCTCTTCCACAGAATCTTACAAGCAGGGAGCATTGCACAACTTTAAACGAGCATTTTCCCTAACTGAGCTGGTTTGTAACATTGAAACAACGTTAAATGGAGGAGTTACTGTAGTAGGTTTACAAAGGCAAAAATAGTTGTAGACACTTAAGCAAGTCAGTCCACCTAGCTAATATCCTAGGAAACTAAAGTGGTAATCCACTGCATTTAGAAACCTGATAGCAGCAGAGAGAAGCAGTTGACACATACCGTCCTTAGGGCAGGTCCACACTGGGGCAGGGGATTGATCTAGGAAACGCAACTTCAGCTATGAGAATAGCGTAGCTGAAGTCGACGTTTCCTAGATCGAACTAAATTTACTTACTGCGGCTCCCCCGTTGACAGCGCTTCCTCCTCTCAGCGAGCAGGAGTTCCGCAGTCGACGGGGGAGCACTTCTGGGATCGATCTATCGCGTTCAGATGAGACGCGATAAGTTGATCCCAGAAGCTCGATCTCTACCTGCCGAATTGGGCAGGTAGTGTGGACCTACCCTTAGTAAAATAAAGGTATTGGCAATAGCATTATCAGTTTAGAGAACAAGCCATGCCTCAAAACTAATCAAAGATTATATCTGGAGGGAAATAAATACATGCCAATTTCAATTTGCAGGGGCCTGGAAGAGTAGTTGGACTTCACTCAAATACATTTATAGTTAAGGGGAGATGTGGTACTTGTGGAGGTCAAGACCAGACCACACCTGTTTCCTGGAGAATAGCATGGCAGTGAAACTAGGGATTAAATGGAGCCTGTAAAAGTGTTTCCCTCAGGCTCGTTTACATGGGTCCTCTAATGCAGAACACTGGGGGAAGTAGTTAGCACTGCTGCTGCTTCATTTGTCAGTGGAAAGGTGGAGAACAACCCTGCAAGCCAGAGAGTGACTCAGACAATTTACATGGGATTGCGAAGTCAAAGGGGCCACTGGAGCCTTAAAGTAGACTGAAGGGATTCATTGTTAAAAAAAACCTCTTCTGAACCCAAGTGTTCATCCAACTGCTCGTGCTTGTAACCTTCAGAAATGAGGCACCAAATTAAATTTCAGAGGACTTTTATTGAACAAACTATCCACACCACCACCACCAGTGCAAGAATACTTGAGTCTGTATACAGCAAGATTTTAGGATCAATCTTAACTTTAATCCCCGAGCAGCAGGTGGAGATTCATATTAATAGTTTTGTGCATAAGGGGTTCAGGCCACAGCTACACGTGCTTTACATCCACTCCTGTCTCAGGTAAGCTTTAGTGCTGTGTCAATAACAGCAACCAGCAGGTATGTTTTGCTCTGTCTTCTGTTCACTGCAACTCCCACTCTGGAAAGGTAGCATATAGGTGTAGAGTCCTCACCCAGTCACTTAACTCCCAGCATGCAACTTCTAGCACCAGGTATAATCTATGTCTGCAACATCCCTGGACCATTGGTACTTCCCTCAGCAGCACAGATAGCATAACACTGGTGTCTCCAGCTGTACCAAAGCAAGTAGCATACATATAAAGTTTCAAGATTAGCTGGAGTCTCCCTCATCTCTTGTGGTATGAAGTAGCCAAACATTTATCCAAGCCAAATCTAACTCAGAGAAATCTTTATATTAATATAATTATTTTTGAAATTTACAAGTTATTGCAATAAAAACTTTAGCTTTCAGAATAAACATTTAGAATCACAAACTTGGGTTTAGTTTCACATAGTACAAACATTAAAATACAGAACACAATTATGTACAGAAAGTGACAACATTCTTTTAACTCCATGGCTTTTAACTTGATCAAGAAGCAAGAGTTAGCACTCAGTAGGAATCTAAAATGGAACATGGCTGAATAAGAATTAAACATTCAAATTGCTTTACATTTAGCAAACTAAACAGCTCTAGTTCAATTTAACTGATTGTTTGGAATTGGTCTTAACTAATAAAATTGTAAACAAGGAAGTTAGGGGTTTGGCAGTATTTGGTTGCAAACAGCTTGCCATCTGGTGTTGGGTCAGAGAAGGCGATTTCAGCAGTGCTTAGGTAACAGCCATACATGAATGTGTTTCTGAAACAGATAAGGACAGTGATCAGTGCAATGCAAGAGTTTGGTTCTGCCTAGGTATTTATATGGCTCTTATTACTGTAATATAAATGCCTGTGTTTTGTTCCCTGACCTCTTCTATACTTTGACAGCGTTTCCATTATATACACACTATTTTCCAAACTGAGGGGGATCCATTTTTGTATAGAGAATTTACTCCATGAAATTTGACATAAAGCAGCAGCACAGGAGTGATTACCAGATTTGAAACAGGAGAATATAGCAGGTACAGTACTAGAGCAGTTTTATTTAGAAGTTTGGTGGTTTCAGATTACCAATATCACAGTCAGGATTTGGTAAGTGAAGTTCCCCATAGTAATCTGTTAAATTTGCTCTATGCATTCTCACATTAAAATTTATACTGGAGAACAGTTGCTTGGAGGCATCTGCAGGTCAGTGACCGGAAGGATGCATTCTAAACAGTCTGCAACAGCTAACCAACTATGATGGTAACAGTTCTCAATTAAAGAGAAAATCCATTCATTTCATATCCCTACAAATCTGAAAGTTCCCAACCGCAGAAGCTACTTACCAGGAATAAACTGGTGTTTTAAGAAGCTGCATTACAATAAACATGTGAAATACAGACTGCAATGGCAGACTAAGTATTTATTCTTTTTGAAGTCTGACAAATTCTCAGAGTACTGGGCAGACAGCAACTGTTAATTTAGGGTGTTTTACAAGTGAACAAAGCCCATGCCTATTAAATGGTTCACAGGCTATATTCTATTTGGTTAAACATGAAATAAGCTCAACCCAGAACATACAGGGTGAAAAGTGCTCAGCCTTCGCTAAACTCTGGTCTCATGGTGACTTCAGTGGAAGCAGAGTCTGGCCAAAGCTGAGCACGGTCAAAAATCCAAGCCACAATACTTACATGGTCCTATGCATTTCTCTTCCACCCACCACAATGGCACAGACTGATGTCAGACTAAGTGCATATTTCAATCAGTTCTTTGCACTGTTACATGAACCTCTCAGACTTGCTGAATGTCATTAGCTTACACCTTTCCGAAAAACATTTACTTAATGTTTTTGCTGTGAGCACTTTTTTCCCCCTGAAAATAAACCAAGCTGAAATCTTGTTCCCATCATGTGTGCACCCATATTAATGGCTTACTTAGCAGTTTCATTTTGGGAGAGGCATCCCTTTTCCTTACCTGACTACATCCACCATACGACGTGCAATGCCTCTTCTCCGCATCAGGCTGAACACCCAGATTCTACTGATCCCACAAATGGCAGCTTCCGGCTTTATGGAGCAACGCCAGGCACGATGGTGCTGCAGGACATCCTGATTAGGGGACTGTGGAACATTCGGCTCAGACAGCACCCGGAATGCCTATCAAGGACAAACACTAAGTCAAATGAGTCTATCTTGAGGGAAATACAGAAACTTATGCAGGTGAGTTTGCTGCTGTAACACCAAAGGCAATTAACTATTTATTACACTGGTCCTTTAAAGAAAGATAAATGGTTACATAAACCACCTCTGCCCAACATCTGAATTCAGTTGAAAGATTTTTGCACCCATCACTAACAACTTGGTTAATTCTTGTCAATTGCATTTACTTGATGGTGAGAGTGTAGAGCTCTAAAACCATCCAGCCAACCCCCATTTCCCCCTCCCCCCACACACACACTTTACAAGGCCAGGAGTACCTGTGACATATAGGTTTGCTAACAACCCCAAGTGTCTGAATGTAATTTTCTTTCATCTTATACAATTAAGATACTATTTAGAACACATACCTGTTTGATTTGTTCAGCAATTAAACAACCAACTATCTTCCTTTCATTGGACACAAAAAAGTAGGTTTTAATCTTGGATGGGCAGCTTAACACAATTTGTTTAAATCCCAGTTCATTATCTACAAGTTCTCGCACATCTTCTGCCTATAGATGTTAGGACAAGAGGTTCAGAGATGCACATTAGAGTCTAGGATAGACAAGTTCAGAGAAGTAATCAATTTCAAACAGAGGGCTTGTGCACCTGAATGGAACCCAGTCATCACCACAATGGAAGTTCACTGTCCAACTGCAGAGCATCTAGCAACTCATTAAAAGCACTAGCAGCCTGTCCCAAATACATCGTTTGGTAGGTTTGCACTACTGTGAGATTTATGCAATTGGAATAGTCTCCTATGGAATGGTAGAAGCTTCATTGCTTGATACATTTGAGTAGACAAGCCTTTATACTATAGTGGACATTCTTCCACAGGCAGAAAGGTAGACTCTAAGGGCTTGTCTACACTACCGCGGTAGTTCGACGGCTGGCAATCGAACTTCCGGGTTCGATTTATCGCGTCTGGTGTGGACGCGATAATTCGAACCAGGAAGTGCTCGCCGTCGACTGCGGTACTCCACGTCAGCGAGAGGAGTACCGCGGAGTCGACGGGGGAGCCTGCCTGCCGTGTGTGGACCGCGTCTGAACCGCGGTAAATTCGAACTAAGGTATGTCGACTTCAGCTACGTTATTCACGTAGCTGAAGTTGCGTACCTTAGATCGAATTGGGGTGTTAGTGTAGACCAGGCCCAAGAGACTCTCCCCACCCTTTAATATCTATACAACATGCAGACCGTTGTCTTTGTGGAGGATGGGAGCTCAGCCTAAAGCTATGGGTGGGGGTGTCATTGCACACCGGTACAAGGCTCACGTGGCAAAGGCAGCAGATTGGTATTTCCCCCCCTCCATGACTGACGAGATGTGAGAGGAAGGGCCCAGCCAAAACTTAGCCTGTGACTTGAATCACGGGAGTTTTGTTAACCTAGCAGCAGCTGCTGCTCACCAGCTGCTATGTGGACTGATTCCAAATCAGCAGACAGAGGTTTTCATTGCTTTTTAACAAAGCACAGTAAAAGCTAAGCCACATAGAAAACCAGCAACTCAAACCAGCACTAGTGCTTTATACTGGGTAGACTCCAGGACTGGGGACTTCCCTCTCCATTTTAGGATACTCTGGACTAATGTATCCCTGCTCAGTCCTCAAATTTCTCCCTTGGCTCTTCTACTGCTAATCACCATACTACCCGAGCACATGTACACCCTCTCAGAGCCACTGGGCTTCTGAATAGTGCTATTTTTCTACAGCAACAAAAGAAACCCACTGGGTACTTCCAGCACCTCAGGTAGTTTTACTTCAACAGAATCTCGAAAAACAACACACACAACTGTATGAACATTTCTTTTGATAATCAATTTAGCTAAAGATTTTCCACTGAGCATGAAAGCTGCATGTTTCAGGCTGGATTTTACAAACACAATCTGGAGCATGGAGGACAAGCTCTTACCAAGTGTTTTTACAACAGGGTAGCAAGAGCAATGTTCTACAAATGACAGTATCCCAAAAGTCTGTTCTTGCCTCAAAATACCTTAGGGCCAGATTGTGAACAACTTGCACTGATGAGCAGTCACTCACACAAGTAGTCCCATTAACTCCAGTGAGACTACTCCTATGAATTAACTGCTCATCATTGTGAATAAGTGGTCCATAGCTTGGCCCTTAGTGAGGCATCAAGCAACTGAAACAGGTGGCAAATGAGAAAAGTGACAGGCCATTCTCCTTGGTAAGGAGCAGATTGGGTTATGCTGGTAATGTAAGAATAAGATCAAAGGAGTCTTCAGCACTGAGGAATGGCTCATTTGTGTGAGCAAAGATGAACTGGAAGACTAACATGGCTGCCATAAGATTACTTTGCTCCGAGATTTGTAAAGGAGAAAAGTGTTTAACCAAAGGTAGGTATCAGCCCTATCTGCAGTGAGGTCAGTGACTTGCCCAAGGTCATAGAGGGAGTCTGCGGCAAAGCTGTGAGTAGAACCCACATCTCCCACCTCCTGGATCTGTAAATCGGCCACAAGTTCATCCCTCCTCTAAGTATGGTAGAAACCAGCCATGTTAATTCCTTGCAGAGTGATCACTGAATGAGAGGTTGATCACTAAATATGGATTTCTCCTGACAAGTGGGAAACAAGTGATTATTTAGAATTAATATCGTAGTAGCACCTACAGACCCTGGCCCTATGATGCTAGGCACTGTACAGACAAAGCTAAAAAGAAATATTGCACCTTTTTGGTGGCATATTTTGGATCATCTGGAAGGACCAAAACCATTTTTCCATCCCAGAACTCTGCAACAACACGCTCTTTCTTCCAACCCTATCACAGAGAAAAAAAATAAAGTTATCTGCCAGGAAGAAGAAGAAGAAAAAGGATTCAGCTAAGGCTTCTTTAATAGAACAGACTCCATAGTTGTAATGTGAACCCTAGCAGTTTGCAGGCAGGAAATCAGATCATGTATGTTAACCCATTAGTTCACGTATGTTAATAAAAGGCAATTGCTGGAATAACAGATAAGTAATTTAATTTGATCATGTTATTTGGATACAAAACCTTTGCCTAGTGTAGCCTTAACTCTATACCCAACAATAAGTACTACTTCAAGGGTTCTTTGGCAAAAGGGTCAGCCATTGCCTTACCACATATTTAATTCCCTCAAGGAACCGCTGGTGATGCTGGATGTGTTGGGCTTCATCCTCTGGGCTGGCAGCTGTATAGATCATGCCACATGATTTGCATATGATGGCACCAAAATGCTTCTGTCCAGCGTCCTGTTATTACAAAAGGAAGTCAGAAGTGTCAGAGATGACAGAGGACAACCTTTTGTTTATTTATAGAATATTCAAAACTGTACATAGCACTTCACATATTCAAGGCATATAATGAACATAATCTCTACAGTATGCCCTTCATGAGATAGGTGTCATTGTATGGATAGAAAAACTAAAGCAGAGACTGAGGGAATGGCATAAGGCCACAGAGTGAGCAGGTGGCAGGACTGGGATTATTTACTCAATTCCATGGTCATTCCCCCAGACCACAGTGCCTCCTGTTTATACCAAGAATTCATTAAGTCGTTCTGTATTTGTTTTGTTTTTTTAGGAAGGCAATACAGAGACAAGGAATTAAATGCTAAGAATTTTTTAAAAGCAGATAAAATTAATAAAGAACAAACTGTAATCAAAAATGCAGCTCTAAACGTAAGGCACGATGGGAGTCCATTGTTGGAGTTCCACAAGACCTCAGTTCAATCCCAGTCTCATCACTCAGGTTCCTCTATATGATATATAGCAAAGGTACACGGAGTTGATGAGACTCAAACATAGGGAGTTGGCCTCTTCCTTTACATGGTACATTGCATCACAGCTTGGGATTGCCTTGGTTACTTACTCTGTAGGAACCAATCCCTATACAGCATGATCTGTCCACACACTGCCCATGTTCGACTTACATTTCTGACTTATGAGGTAAAAAGTAAAGATCTTATCCATTGTTATCTTGCCCATTGTAAATGGTTCCCTGTTGTTCCCCCTTATCTTAGCTAGTACAGACATTGTTCCCAGCCTGCTGATCCATTTACCGCCCTAATCCTGCCTCCCAAGAAATGAAGCTTCACCTATGTCCAATTACTCATGTCAAGCCAGGCCTATATGCATACAGGTGACTTTAGCTTATTGCTAATGACACAGGGCTTAATGATGCCATTCGGTCGCATTCCATTGTAAGGCCAGGACTTCAAAGGGAATGAACTATATACACAGGACACCACTAGGTGAGTATTTCATCCCTCATATCTTTTATATGAAACCCTCCATTGGTTAAGTGGGGTTGCATTTCAGTCACAGATAAACTCCCGGGTACAGAATGTTTTAGACAACATCCCTACTGTGGTACTGTCCTTCATGACGTTAGTTGTCCACTAATGTGGCTGCAGCATTATGCTGGCTCTGCTCAGGCAACAATTCATGCAGCAGTGGGAAACAGTATTTCTGTGTCCAGCAAATTCACTCTTATGGTATCCATACAGGCATTTTTAATAGCAAATTCTACAAGTTTCCTATTTATTCACAGATATAGTAAAGCTTTAACCCCAAGGAAACCTTAGAAAAGAGTTTCACAAAGTGTCACAATCTTTACATTTGAAATTTTGGAGAAAGATTTATACAATTCATTAGAGCTGTATACAGTGTTTGAGATTTATACGTAAGGGAATCTAGTATTGGTTAGCCTGAAAGCTCATTTCACTACTACCACATGGTAGTGCAAGCTCCCCTAAGAACGAGTAACAGCCCACAGAGGAATACTCACAATGATCATCTGGTCTTTAAAGTCTTTGCTTAGTTCTTTCGTTTTCTTGCTGGTTTTCTGGAAGGTATGAACCATTTTTGTAGGTGGGCTGAATCCCAGGGGAGAAGCCAGATCATCTGGGAAAGGCTGTGGTCTGAAAGTAGTTTCAGAGTTGCATCTGAATTAGTCATTTCACACTCACAGTCAGATTGAATACTGATGTGACTAGCTCCCCAGAACAGACCAGTAAAGGAACTCAAGAGATGTGTTCAGGTTAGTTCTTCCTGTTTCAAGAGACCCCATACTAAAATTGATAGTAGGAAGCTGGCCTGATGGCAGTGTTGAGATGCAAACAACCAAGGTTCTAAGGGCTGCACCAAAAAACAAGGCTTTGAGGAACATCACTGCCTCTAGACTAACCCAAACCTGAAGCTCTAGAACTGTTCTAGAGCAGTGGTTCCCAAACTGGGGTTCGTGAACCCCTGGAGGTTTGCGAAATGTTATAGCGGGTTCTTGGGAAAAAATTCCCTAATGGCGGCCAGAGCTGTCCTTAGGGACCCCGGGCAGCATGGGGCCAGCAGCCCGGAGCCCCTGGACTTCCAAGAGCTAAGCAGATCAAAGCAAGCATATCTATCATGCTGAGGAGATTTAAACTTCAAGACTCCTTATAAGAAATGGAAAGGGAGGTGGATATTTTTTGCTTTTTTTAAAATTAAATAGGCAGCTAGTATTGTTTATAAAATTATTATGAAGAACAAGTTTAAGCTTTGTTGTAATGTGCGTGCTCAAGACTGAATGCTTGTGTAGGAGGAATTCTTTGAGTTGGCTTCTTAAATACCTTCATGCTGTTTCACATCTGATACTCCTTGATGAAACATAGGCGCCTTGATACAAGCTACGAAAGTGAGATCTGGGAAGAGTGTTGCCATTTTCATAATGATATCATGTAATGATAAATAGTGTATAATAAGCATGTCATAAAAACAAATTTTATATTTCCACGATCACTGCTTTTATAATTTATACTCAGGTAAAGGAGAAAATCTCTGGAAATATTCATTTTTAGGAGGGGGTTCGCGAGACTTGACATTTTAGTGAAAGGGGTTCACAGATTGTTAAAGTTCGGGAACCATTGTTCTAGAGGAAGAATACAAGAGCCTACATCTCAGGTGTTAAATCTGATCTCAAGCACATTCCATACTGCAGATATGAGTCAACGGAGCTGAGCTGCCAGGATTCCTACTCCTTAAATTCACTGAGGATGGTGGCTATAAGAAGGCTGATGACCACTGATCTAAGTGTTCCTGTTCTGAGAGGGAAAGAGACAATGGGTGGAAGCCCTTGCTACTCCATACACTCAAACATGGGAGCACCACTCCCTCTCTCATCCCCCTTTAAGAAAAGGAACATGAACTATGAAAATGTTTATGGCTGGGGCATTAATCATACAAAAAGTTGGGACCATATCTTTGAATGTCCTAAAAGTAACTGTAACTTGGTCTCTTAAGCACATCCTTCACATGCCCTAGAGTACCTCAGACCACCTCTCCCCTTGACTTCTGCTCCAGCAGTGGAGATTATCTGAGATTCTGAAATAATAGGTACCAGATTTAGATAAAAGAATTGGAGGCATTTTCAGGGAAAGGCCTTCAATTCTGGGACTCAATTCTCCATTCTGGTCCAATGGAGACAAAGTTTTGCTAACTTTAAAAACAAATAGTAAGGCTAACGGAGGGCCTGGGTAAATTGAGAGAAGATCTGGAAAGGATTGTTCATGAGACTATTGATCCAGATGGAGTCTTTATATGAATTTTTAAAAACATTTATATGAGACTTGCGCTTTGGAGAAGCACATATTAAAATGGTTAATAAATAAGTAGTGCTTTATAGATTTACCTTTAGTGCTTTAGCTATATGCAAGCTGGCAGGGTTACTTTAGGAACTACCACTTTAAATTTGCTAACTGTTGTACAATAAAACTTAACATGGGATTAACAGAGATAAGCACTGAACAATTTTCTAGGTTTAGATGCCAAGGAGAGTTCCCAAAGCAGAAAGCTAAAGTATAGTTCTAGTAGAAAAAGTTTCTACTCATGTATTCCCAAGAGACAGTGTAGGAGGTAACCGCAAATCCAAGGCCATATTTTGGTTAATCACAAACACCAGGATTTTGGCATATTCCAGAATTCCATTTTCAAATACCTTCCATATTGATGCAAAGCCCCCACAAGGGAGCAATGTAAATATGTAATCAGATATCTCTCTCACTCTTAAGTGGAAGAGAATTATAAGTTTGACAAGTTTTTTGGGTTTTTTGGCTCTTTCAGAACTACAACAATTTTAAGTGATTTTATGTTCACAATAAATTCAAATCAGAATGTTTTGATTACTAGCAATCTGCTCCAAAGAAAGATGATTAAATAAGACAGAGGGATTAGTGGTTTTGGTTCTGCATGGGAAAGCAGAACATTTCCACTGGAAACATAATATGGCAATGGATTTGTCAAACAAATAAGTAATCAGAGTCATGGACACATTAGCATGAGCATATTCTACAAGGAAGATTATTTGCAGGGCTGTACTAATCTATTTAACAGCACAAGGTGTTAATATTGTTACAGATAATCACACAGATCAATCCTATAAAGTTATGCAATATAATGAAGGGCAATGCTAAAGGCCAGTGCCCAACAGACCTTTGAAAGACATGCTCAACCAGGTAAGGGTTGGGTTAGAACAAAGGGAAGAGAGAGAATAGAAAATAGAAGCTTCAATTCTTTTCACATCTGCATGTCAACTTTTATCTTCTCTATCTTGCAATCCCCTTTCCACACAAAAAGATGGTCTGAACACCAGTGGCATTGGGTATTATGGAAAGGCTGATCAGCTGAGAAACGTTGACTGTACCGTATCTGGTATAACCACATCATACTCCTTACGCAGTTAAAGATTTAACGAGAGACAACACTTTAACTAGTGCAATTATATTAGAACGATGAACTTCTCAGATGGTTGAAGGTACTTCCCAGTGTACCAGATACCCTCACATCTCTGGAACAATCATATTGCTAACATTAATCACTACAACATATAGAAAGCCACACTACTAAAGGGCAGCAGCAGAAAGGTAGTCTACCAAACTGACATCAAGTTTAAGAAGCGACAGTATTTTAGAACATTCACATGGGCAAGTTACACAAGCATTCTGGGAACTGTAGTTCAAATAATTTCAGTAAACGTGACTTTACTTCAGAAACGGTAACTATTTCACTAGTTTGAAACTTAATATAGGATAGTAATAGTCAGAGATGATAACCTAGTAATATTTTTCCAAGTCTCTCTGCTAAGGCCTGATATTGTCTTCCTCCATTCCACTAGACAATTTTTATTATTTACATTACAGCAGTACATACTGGACCTAACTGAGATCAAGGCTCCATTGTGCTAGGCTAGATAGATTCACACAGGAGACAATCCCTGCTCAGAAGAGTTTATAAACTAAAATGACAAGTCAGACAAAAGATGGGGAAAGTAATATTATCCTCACTTTACAGATGGGGAAAATAAGGCAGAGATTAAGTAATTTGCCCAACATCACACAAGTAAAGCGTTGTAGAGCCAGGAACTGAACCCACATCTCTAAATTCCAAGTCTGCAGCTTAGCCCAAAGAAAGAATAGTGTTTCATCTTCCCTCTCAAAAATAAGATCCAACACTTTCATATCTTAATGATGGCTATTTCTCATCCCTCACCACATCTCATTGGCAAAGAGAAACTGTTTATTATTTTTGGAATTTATGGTCTCGTATTTTTTAAAATCTGATTTCTGGAGGTATTGTTCAAACTTCTGTCTCATTCTTGGAGAGTGTTAGAGTAAAACAGACATACCTTGTTTTGTTGACTGAGGGTGTACTGAATATGGGATAGACAACATCTGCTGAAGGGGACACTGGAAAGAGTCACACAATTTGTTAGTATTAGACAATGACGATACAAAACATGTGGGTATCTAGAAATGGGACCTAGGTGAACCAGTAGTTTCAACTGATACACAAGCATGGAAAAACTCTGAACTCCCAATACCCAAGAGCTTACATTAGCATTAGAAAAATTTTGGTACTGCAACAAATAAAAACCCACTCAATTTTTTTTTTTATATTGAACTAGCTATTTTTGATCCAATTAACTATTGACAGAATATCCTGTGCTTTATGCTATGAAAAAAATTGTTGCAAGCCAAGGGTCAGGGCAAACCAAATCTCCAGTAGAACCTTCACCAGGGAACATGTGAAAATTTATATTAGAGCAAATTGTTGCATCAATAGCTTAATAATTTTATTAATGGCGGAAGACTATGTCTAACACCATTTATCATAACCCAGACTTGCCCAACTCATGATCTCAGAGCTAAAGCATACCCTGTATTCATGGCTTCGCAATCTTATCAGAGAAAGTGTGGTGTCACAAATTCAGCACTAAACTTCACTGCAACAGGAGAAATTTCAGTCCATTTTTTAAGCAAAACTGATGAGGAAAACCAAATAAAAAAAAGGTAAATATTGTCCCACAAGGGTGGAAGACCTTCTTCATAGTTCAGCTGTTGGACTGCCTTTAATTTCCATAGCCTTTTGACTATATTTGCCAATAGCCAAAGATCAGCATTTTTGACTCCCATCAGATTCCACATCAGACACAGAAGCCAGACACCAATACATAGGAAAGCCAGAAGAGAGGCCTAAGCAATAATTTTATAATCAATCCCTTTAAGTAAAAGAAAAATACTCTATGAAGTTGAACTACATGATTTCTTACTTACTGAACTTGGGACATAAACATCATGACAGGTGCTTAGACCAATACAGCTGCAGCACTATTTACCTTTATTATTCTCTGTTGGAGACTGACTGAAAGGAATATTCTCTTGATCGTCCAACTCACGGTTTATGGAAGATCCAGCTTCATCCACATTCTGTAATACAGATAAACATTCTCAAAGACCAAATTAAAACTGTCAGCTTGACTTAGCTTCCAGTTTGCTAGTTACACAATCTCACGTAGCTCGAGCGCTCAGGGCATAGGCCAAATGTCGCCAAGGATATTTTGAAATGCAACTAACAGCCTTTATCCTCTTCAATACAGAGACCTGGTTTGCAGAGGCTAGAGATTCCACCATGTAATGCTCCACCTTGAGCTGAACAATATTGGATAATATTGTATGCTGGAACCTGCAGTCTCATGGGCAGCACCTCAGTATCGAAGAAGCTGCTTTTTTGGGGGCACAAGTTATTTATGGCCAGGTTTATGGCAAGTTGTTGATGTCCTTCACGTGCCTTTCTACTACTTCTAGCTGCAGTTCTGTAAGATTATTTCTTCATTTCAACATTTTTGGTATCCTGGTCCTACATTGGTGTCTATAATTCTATTGGTCCTACATTGGTGTCTATAATGCAAAGCCTTTGGGAATTTCCTGCAAAGATTCAATGAATGACCATGCTAGACTGATTTTTACCTTAAATTTCTGCCCACTTCTAGTTTCTATGACAGCTAGAACATATTAATCCTCCCCTCCATTACCAAAACCATAATCCCATGGACAGTCACCAACCAAAACCATCAGCTCAAACAGGAGCTGTTTGAGACTAGATCAAGGCACAAAGTTGGCCTATAATTTTGTGATAGCAAATCCAGTGATACAAATTCATTTCCATACACCCAAGGCTTCTGAAAATGCAGTTTATTATCCTAAGAGCCTGCAATCACAGCAGGCCCAGCTGCTTTGAAGTTATATTTTTTATTTTATATGCAAGATTGTTGACTTACCAACATTTGTATTTTATTAATGTTGTATTGTAAAAACACACTGGCAATCAAGTAAGGAATGTGATGGATACATTAATACAGGAGAAGTGAACACAGAAGGCAATAAATAGCTCTTTATTAAACCAACACAGGAGTATAAAACTCATTAGTCCAATAAAAGCTATTACTCACCTTGTCTATTGTTTCCCTTCAAGGACCAGTACAGCTATGAAAAAGTATTCCAATACCACTTATCCTCTCCTCCAAACACCTTTCAGGTGCCAGAAAATGGCAGTAAAATGTGACATTAAGTATAATGAAATAGGCCCCAAACCTGGTTTGCATTAGGTATTTTATTGCTGCACTCTTCCATTGTCAATCTTACCTGTGGCATCTATATGCTGAGTTAGAAACCAGAACCTATCTCCAAAACTAAACAATTCTCTAGCAATCCACAAAAGTGAGACTTCGCAGGAGCTAACTGGTCAGTGTTGATTTTTGAGAGCCATTTTTAAATTTAAACCATTTGAGTGCTGAACATGCTTTTGATCCTCATACAAGGCATGTTTTTAAGAGTCATACCCTTACTCTGTCCCTAGAACTAGAGGCCCCACTTTTCAAAGGCCTAGTGATTTTAGGTGCCTCATTGTCTGAGACATGCTAAAGAAGCCTGGTTGGGAGTGCTCAGACCTATCTAAAAATTAGGCCCCTATAAATTGTCTCAGGTTGTACACCATAACACTGATACATCCAAAATCACTAGACACTTTTGAAAGTTTGGGTCAAAACATTTGGCCATTTTGAATTTCACCCTTCTTTATTATGCAACCACCTCCTTTCTGGTCTCCCTAATACCCACCTTACTCCACTAGTCTATTCTGCAGACAGCAGCTAAAATCCCTTTCTTCGCCCGTCACAAAACATGTCACCACATCGCTTTGAACCCAAGCCTACACCATTCTTCTTCAACTTGCTTCTGAATTGTACTGCACTTTCTATCCTTCCCACTCTCAGCTTCACATCTCCTGATACTACCTCCTATGTCTGAATTCCCACCCTGTCTCCAAGCCTACATACACCAAGCCACCTATTACCAAAAGAAAGATGCTCTAAGCTAAAAGTTTCCCCCAAATCTCACTGTGCATTCACTTTTCCATCGGTTTGGACTTAGCTCCTCTCAGAACGTCTCCTTTCTTGTATAGCACTGAACAGAGTGCCAGTACTTAAGTTATTCCTGGGGGAATTCTGTGCCCAAAATTAAAAATTCTGCACACAATATTTTAAAATTCTGCAAAATTCTACATATTTGTCAAAACACAATATAATCATGCCAGTTTAAATTATTTTGGTAATTTATTTCAAAATATCTGTCAGCAAGTATGTTTGCAACAATACAGACAGCAAAAAAGATTCAGGAAATGTTTTTTGACAACTAGATTCCTTACTAGGCATATTAATACAGAACTTTGAGTAATAATTCATTTAAACTACAATCCAAAACCATATTTCCCAGACCCCTCAGAAGTGTTGCAAAGGCTTGGGGAAGTTAGGGCTAACGGAGGAGCTGAGGGAGAGGGAAGTAATTGCAGGAAAGGGGCCTGGGAGTGAACCTGGAGGTTGTTGGGTGTGGGTGGGAGAAGTACAGAATAGGGTTTTTTGGGGGGGAGGGATTGTTAGGGAGTTGGGGAGCCTTCCCTATGCAGACACTGGCTGACCCCTAGCTTCTCCCATTCAGTCAGGCACATCTGCCCCTATCCTCATGTGTCCCTGCACCCCACTTCCCGCATCTCCATGTGTCCCTGCACCCCCCTCAGCCACCCCCACATCCCCTTCCTCCATCTCCCGCACCCCATTTCCCATTCAGCCCCTGCCCCAGTCTGTCCCCCCCACTAGCCCTTCTGAACCCCAGTCTATGTGACACTCCCCTCCCCCAGCAGCCCCATGTGCTCCGCTCTGTCTCTCCCTCCCCATAACCTGTGCCTCTAACCAGGCCCCACGAGCAGGGTGCTGTGAGGAACGCAGCCGGCTGCTACTGCTCATGAGCCACCTGCTCTCTGTTCTGGTGCCACAACAGCCTCTGGTGGGCCAAAGGTGCAACTGCAGTACCTCGCCAGCAGAATGTATTTTCTGCAGAGAAAAAATTTGCAGGGAACAGTGGTGCAAAATCCTCCCACCCCTTTATCTTGTACTGCTCCTTATCTTATACTGAAGAGCCACTGTCCTCAGAAGCTAGAAGTTTAAAATGTTCTGGATAGAGACCAGCTCAGTAAATCCATTGTTACTGCTTCACTTAAGCATAATAAGCTTGGGTTTAATCTCACACCCTGGGCTGGGGAATCTGTAGAACCGGCACACTCAGACTCTACAGGGAAAGGAATTACTCTAGGGCAATCTTTACATTCAAGATTGGAGTTCATTTGTAGCATTCCTATGTCACCACTCAGGCTGCATTGGCTACCAGCAAGGGTGCAAACAGAATCCTCAGGACGCAGGAGAAGGCTCAAAACAAATCTGGAAACAGATTTGTTTCTTTGCTCAATTGTTTGTTTCACTTGCCTTGACACTGAGGCCAACAAGGAAACATCCCAAAGAGAGTAC